GAAGTCTTCAGTCAGTTGAAAGTTGTTCAGGTAAAACATTTTACTCAGCTGCCTTCACTGAATGGTGATTAAGAAACATTTCATTAATTGTTTAAGCCTAGGAAGAGGGGCAAAAAAACTCTCATAGGCTTATAGTCTTTAGTATTATTGGGAAAAGTGATTTCAAAAGAGTAAATACAGAAAAGATTGTTTTAAGCAGAAACCAAGGTATTCATGATCTGACATGTCTCATGGCATTGTAAACCCTCTAGTGCAAGAGTTAGGGGTGTCTTTAGTCTATTATGGCTAAGGACAGATATCTCTGGCACCCAAGGCTTAGCTAGTTACATAGTTGGGCCCCCAAAAGTGCTTCACATTTCACTTGCAGCAATTCTAGAGGTTTCCTATTCCTGCTTAGGGGAACTTGTTCATTATGAGCATAATTTGACTTTAACCTAGTCTTTTAATACTTGGTACACTGCCTCCCATTCTGGACAGGAACAAACAAGGAAAGAAAGGGAAGGCTTAATTTATAAATTAATTCAACAATTATTCACCAAGAGCTTACTATATTAAACACTACTTATTTTTTATGTTTTTTTTTTTTGTTTGTTTTTTGTTTTGGTGAGGTCTCACTATGTTGCCCAGGGTTGAGTGCAGTAGCAGGATCATGGTTTACTGCAGCCTCGACCTCCCAGGCTCAAGTGAGTCTTCCACCTCAGCCTCCCCAGTAGCTGGGACTACAAGGTGCAGGTCACCATGCCCAGCTAATTTTTTTGTATTTTTGGTAGAAATGGGGTTTCACCATGTTGCCCAGGCTGGTCTTGAAATCCTGGCCCCCAGTGATCTCCTTGGCCTCCCGAAGTGCTGGGATTACAGGTGTGAGCTACCACGTCAAGCTTTATTGTTGTGTTACAGCATTCTTTATATATTTTGGAGACTAGATCCTTATCAATTACAAAATTTACAAGTATTTTTCCCTATTCTGTGGGTTGTCTTTTTACTTTATTGATAATGTCCTTTCAGTCACAGAAATTAGTCCTAGAATTTTAAAGCTGAAAGATAACTAGTAGATCATCAACCTAATTCTACCCCCAACCCACCACACTTTTAAAATTATACTTTAAGCTCTGGGATACATGTGCAGAATGTGCAGGTTTGTTACATAGGTATACACATGCCATCGTGGTTTGCTGTACCCATCAACCCATAATCTACATGAGGTACTTTTCCTAATGCTATCTCTCCCCTAGCCCCCCAATCCCCTGACAGGCCCTGGTGTGTGATGTTCCCCTTCCTGTGACCATGCCCACTTCATTTTTCTTTTATAGAGACAAGTTCTTTCTCTGTTAGCCGAGGCTGAAGTACGGTGGTGCAGTGATGGCTCAATGCAGCCTCCAATTCTTGGGCTCAAGTGATCCTTCCACTCAGCCTCCTGAGTAGCTAGGACTACAGTAGGCAAGTACCACCATATCTGATTAATTTTAAAATTTTTTATAGAGAGGGGTCTCGCTGAGTTGCCCAGGCTGGACTCATACTCCTGGCTTCAAGTGATCTTTCTGCCTTGGCCTCCCAAGGCTCTAGGATTACAGGTGTGATCCAGTGCTCCAGGTCCTCACTCATTTTATTTTACTGCTAAGGACACTAAAGCCCAATGAACTGAATTAATTTCTTTAATGGCAGAGTCAGGACCACCTGCTTTGTAAATTGTGCTGTGATACCAAATAGGCTACAGTGTTCTTAGAGATTAAAAAAATCACAAATGGAGTATTAGAAAAGAATATAAAATACATGATAATCACATATGATTCAGTGTGGTGTGGACCATAAAGGCATAAGGAACTTAGAAAGACAGTTGGAGAGATAATGGTGTTCATTCACCTTATGGACAAGTAGATGGAGGATAGAAACTGACAAGACAATTAGGGAAAGTAACTATGGTATTAAAAAATGTAAGTCAAAGTGTTAAGCCCCCATCTTTACAATGGCTTCACATCAGCTTTCACACTCACCTTTAATATCATTTGCAGTTTTCAGCTTATGCAGAGTCGCCATTCCTTTTGCTTAAAGACAAGATTAAGAATCAAAATTACATAAATTTCTGAAGTTATGGAAAGTAGACTAGGAGGGCATAATTTATCTTATTTTTTTTTCCCCAGATGAGTGAAAAAATTAAGAAAATGTCAAGGTTATATGGGATATCGATCCTCATTCATATTGTTTCTTTTGGTACCTTAATGTATTGCACTCCAAAAGCAAAAACTGAAAAGCACTATAGTGTCAGCATTGAAATCAAGACTGTTCATTTATCATCTTTTAGGATGTAAAGAAGTGAAATGACTTTGAAATTCTGTTGATTCAGGAGCAAGATGATGATCTGTTACCCACTTCATTTTCATGAATGCTTTGTTTAGGAAGGTATTAACTAATTAGATACCTTTTAATGAGATAGATATTTCTTTCTAGTGAATTATCCTATGAAATATGTGGGTATAATTAACTAACTGAAAAATCTTCCTTCACCCCACCCCTTTCTATGGGCAGAACAACCAACCAACAAAACCTTAATAGTACAGATTTAACTCTTTTTCTTTTCTTTCCTCTAAAAATGTGGGGTAGTTTTGTTTTCTAAGTGTGAGGAGATTAATACTCAGGAGAAAAGTGTGGCTATAATAACTCAGTTTCCTGTATTTGGTTTGGTTTGGCCTGGCCAGATAAACCAACAATGTATTATTTTAATATCAAAAAAAGGTCCATGGCAGATGATGAAAACATGGAAACATGGAAAATGTTTGGTGATCCCTTTAGGTTATAGAGGCCATATAAGGTAATATATAATGCAGAAAGCAATACATATAAAGAAGAAATATCTTTCCTATGGGGAAAGGATTAATTCTAATATAAAACACATAATCTGTAGAATTCAGAAAAACCTACATCTATAAAGCATCTTTTCTTTCCCTGCCTCTGATCTGTCATTCTCTCTCTCCCTATTGCTTGGCTCTTCGCCCTTTCTAAATATTAGTTTGCTAGAGGCACCCTATGCCATTCTTAGACACTGCATGCGGCAATATTCTGGTTGAGAATGTGACTTAGAAGATGACAAGAAGCAGACTTTATTTTTATATGGCGACTTTTTTTTCTAAATGTATATTAGACTTTCTCTGTGTCCCTAGTAAGTACAGTTTTAGAAATTCTCACGTGGAACCTTACAACCCAAGTGTCTCTGAAGGCCAGAGTGAAGCTCTGATTTCTATCATTCTCTTATCCTCTTTCCCACTTTCCTTTTTTGTTCTCTTATTTATCCTTCTCCATTATCTCTAAAAAAATATTTTTTTCCTTTTTCCACTCCCCTTGTTTTCTAGTGTTATCTTCTTTTCTTGCCCAGGTCCTTCTTTATCAAACATATACATTCTTGCATGGGCTACCCATGCTCGCCCACAGCTTTCTTGACTCATAAGCCCGATCACTTGCTGCACTGCAAATACATTTTAGTCCTGTGAGTCCTGCCAGGTGTAAAGAAAATTTAGATGGCTTATAAAGTAATGCCGTTTTCATATTTTAGAAATTCTAATACTGGTTTTCTATTCAAAATCACTCAATAATACTCCACATTTTACTTATAAAGTTTTCTTTGGCGTGGGCAACGCGTGGCTCCACCCTGTAATCAGCACTCTTTGGAGGGGCCGAGGCAGGTGGATCACTGAGCCAGGGATTAGAAGACCAATCTGGCCCAACATAGTGAAACCCTGGATCACAAAAAATACAAAAATTAGCCCAGACTTGGTGCACACCCCAGCAAACTTGGGAGGGCATTGAGACAGCCCGAAATCGCTTGAAACCTGGGGGCAGAGGCCATCCAGTCGAGCCCAAGGATGTGCCAAGCACTGCACCAAGCGTGGGTACAAGTAGACCTCAGTCTAAATAAAAAAAAAAAAAAAAAAAAAAAAAAAAAAAAAAAAAATTCTTCTAATATAGTATTAAGGGACAAATTTTTTTTTTTTTTTGAGGAACGGAGTCCTCGCTCTGTGCCGCCCAGGGCTGGAGTGCGTGGCCAGATCTCAGCTGCACTGCAAGCTCGCCTCTGGATTTACGCTATTCCTCCTGGCCTCAGCCCCTCGCGAGTAGACGGGACTACAGGCCGCCCGCCACCATCGCCCTGGCTAGTTTTTGTATTTTTAGTAAGAGAACGGGGTTTCACTGTGTTAAAGCCAGGAATAGGTCCTTCGATCTCCTGACCTCGTGATCCGCGCCGTCTTGGCCTCCCAAAGTGCTGGGATTACCAGGCTTGAGCCACCGCGCCGGCAAATTCTTATTTCTATGTCATATTGACACATTTTGCCTTCAAATGTACCTAACTAGATGAATTAGATGATGAATTAAGTCTTCACACTCAAATTTCAGAGACAAGACACTAGGCATAACGAACCAATGGCACTTTTCACAGCTTAAATACCTTTCCTCCCATTGATACCATTATCCAATATTTCCACCTTTCTAAGAAAAAAGTGAATAGCTACGTAAGCATGAAAAGCGGAAAATAACATGTATATAGTAACCAACTTCCAGGGACCTGCTAAAAAATGATTATTATTGGGGTGAACAGTCAGAC